CAACTTTGCGCTGTGGATCACCGGATCGGCTTTCACCGTGGACGAAGCGGAGTCCAGCCCGGTGTCATCACATGTGGTTGCTGCAAGCCCGCCGGACGCTCCTTTGTCGAATCCGCCGTCCGCGCCGTTCTCAAGCCCGCCCCCTCTGTATGTGGAAAATAATGTGTTTTTTGAACCTTAAATCGCATAAACACATTTCATTACACCAAATACACAAAATAATGATCTTTTTAGCAACATCATATGACCCCTTTAAAGATGTCTACACTGGATAGAAGAGGATGTACCTTGGATGTCAGTTCGTGACTATTCCAATGAATTAATCAAATCCTTTTGTTTCAGACAGACAGGGAAAATAAAGTGGCTGGTGTAGCCGTGCAGAGCAGGAAAAACAGAAACCAGGAATTTTGTGTCACTAAGCTTTGGCCACATTAGACACCTGCATTGTGCAAACAAATTAATAAATTTGGACTGGAGCTTACCTATAGATTGTGGCGAGTCCATGTATGGGTTACATCTGGAAAAGTGGGCACGGTCTGTGGCCAACATAACTTCATACACGCGGTCTGATTTAATTATCCCATTTTCTGGACAAAACACACAAACGCATTCAAACTGATGGCTTAATACCATTGTAATATACACACAATACATTAAATATATAATGTACACACTTTTCTAATATCAGTTCCAAGAGAACCTTTACTGGGAACCCTATTTGCAGCTTCACAACACTTGTTCATTGTATGAAAAAGATCAGCGTGAATATTCTTCAAAATACCGCCTTTTGTGCTCTAAAGAAGAAGGTTCTTAATCTGTTTCTGTTTTGTCAGTCAATCATTCATTTACATCTATGCATTTGGCGGACAGTTTATCCAAAACGACACTGCATTTCTTCTCAGTTAATGCTTTTCCTGGGAAATTCCATGACCTTGGCACTGCTAGTGCCATGCTCTACTTACTGAGCACAAAATCCACCACAAATATGGCTTATCATCTGAAATATGCAAGTATTAGCAACTTTACATGGCCGCTAAATCTAATGTTAACCTAGAGAAATGTGCGCTATAGTGTCTGTGAGGAGTGTGAAGCTGAACAGTAGCTCACTGCAGGACAGATGGAGGCGCCGGTGCGCTCACTTGCTCTTAAAATAGGCTACACCGTAATTTTTTGTCATACAGATAAGAGTAATAGGCTACATCTTTCAAATCTGTAAAGACTCTGTTTATTTGTGTGCACTTTTGTAGGCAATTAAAGGCTCATTATAATGATTTAAATGGTTTATTAATAAATGTGCGATTAGTCTACTAATGCTTAAAATGAACGACTACTAGTCGACCAGAAAAATCCTTAGTCGAGGGCAGCCCTAAAATATATAGTATATATATATAGTAGTGCTGTTAATTTTTCAAAGTTTAACAGCGTTAAAACACTTATTTCAGACAGACAAGGAATACATATGTAGCTATATATTAGGGGTGTAACGGTACACGTATTTGCACCGGACATTTCTGGCACAGGTCTTTCGCATGTGTACCGAACAAATTGTTCCATTTTTCAGGAAATTCAGACAATAAATGCCTTTTTGGTGCTCTTTGATGTGGCACGACATATCGCCGTATACTAACGCCTCAGTTCTAACAGCAGCGCGGAGTGAGAATGAGCGTGATCATCCCTTCCTCTTTATTACTAGTTTTACACGAAATAAACATGAATGAACATCGCATTATCTCTCAATTAGTGTTTCAACCACGGAAAGACGTCATTTAAACAGCTTGTAAACAAAAGGTCACGTATCATTTCATTTACCTCAGGCTAGCCATGAGTGTAGACCTACAGCTCGTTATCTGCTAGAAAAATGAAGTCTAGTGAAGAGCATTTAGCAAAATATTATACTATACTTCATTATATTTACTTTACCTGTTAGTGATGTCTTAATTATTTAATGTATGTGTTTAAATAAATATTTTATGAAACAAGTTTTGACTCTGTAAATTATTATTTCAACAACAAATAGAAATTGTATAATTTGTAAGTTAATTAAAAAACTATTTACATGTTTGCGAACAATTTTTTAATTTGAGTGTTGATTATTATAGTTAAAAATAAATAGTTAAAGAGCAATTTGTTCAGTAAACCATTGTTAAATTTTGTTTAAAAACCATTGTTTTTTTCCTCCTGCTGTACCGAAACCATACCGAACCGTGACGGCAAAACCGAGGTACGTACCAAACCGTCATGTTTGTGTACCATTACACCCCTAATATATATATATATATATTAGGGATGCTCCGATCGATCGGCCGGAAATCGGTATCGGCCGATAATCACATTTTATGATAGTGTGGAAATGCTATGACGTTTCGAGAAACAATGAAGAATTCGCTATTTGTCGTGTGTTTTGCATGATGATATGATGAATGGATGGTTCACTTTTAACAGCAGATTCAGTGATGTTAGAGCCTCACTGCACACGTCTGCGGCGTGTTACGGCTCCACGGCCACCGGAGCTGATCGCGGCCGCTCTAGTCAGTGCTTGTGTTTATGAGCCAGCCGCGGCACGTTTCTAAAGCGGCTCTCCGCGCTGCTTGACTAAAAATAGTTTTTTGTGAGTTGTCACAGCGTGGAGTACGGAACAAAACCTCGTCGGAGCCGTAAGGGATAACGGTAACATAACACGCTGATCGTGGGCTGCTTTTAAATGAACATTTATTTATAAAACAAAATATCTTCTTTGGCCATATTAGCCTACTCAACAGCATTAACACAGGCTTTACTCCTTTCAAACTTTATCTGGAATGTCACCGTTTCTGTCACTGCAACTTCCTGATCAGGCGAACACACACACACACACACACACACACACACACACACACACACACACACAAACAAATGAAATCGTCTGCCTCATGAAAAAATTTATTTAAAAAAATGTAGTTAATATTTGCATCATTTATGATTTATTTTATCCTTCCGCGACCCACCCGCAAATAATCAGAATGCATTTTTTTTATTACCCAACCCGCGCCCGTGGACATAACCGTGATCAAACTACTCCATTTTGTTCTTTCAGTAGTTTAAATGTTTCTATTTCTTTTTTGCTCTTCAGTCTTATATTAGACAGTATTAAACCTTATGTGTTACATCAGACTTCTCCATGTTGGAGTTTAAATGCTTCTATTTATTTTGGCCTCTCTCTAACATTGGACAATAAACATTAAATGTTTATTTTGTCCTCCACAGTTTACTATTGGATAATGTTTAAATAAACCGTTTGTTTGTATTTATTTTTGTCTTATGTTAAGTAGAGGTCGACCGATTGATCGGCCGATTATTGGCATTTTTTAATTAATCGGCATCGGCCGATTGTGCTGCAAATTAGGCCGATTTATAGGCAGGCGCACTGGCGGGCAGCTAAGCGTTGTTGTGGAACTCCCTCTGGCTGCGTGAGACGGCTTGAGCAGCTCACGCTCTGCAGGCTGCAGCCACGGCTTGTTCACACACAGCCTCAGCTAATGATGGCAGGGCAAAACAGACCGTTTCGAAAGCGTAACTACGTTTTACCCTACTAGAATTGATGCCGGAATGTTATCATATTCATAAGTGCAACAAGTAATTTGCATGTGAAAGTAGAAACACGTTCAATTCAGATGAAACTTCTGGGCTGATTATAACGTGCACGTTAACTTTCCTCACGAAATGTGTTTGTGGGTCTGACAATAGCCTCCACGATGTCATCACTATGGCCATTTGTCTTATAGCAGTGTCCAGTGTTTCCTATACATTGAGTTATTTGTGGTGGCTCGTCAAAATATCAAAACTGGCCGCCACAAATAGATTTTCCAAAAGGCTTACTTCGTTGAATAAAATGAACGCTTCACATTTCAAAATTAAAATGCAGCGCGGGTGTTTTTATATGAATGTATCTTTGAAAAGAACCAACTAGGGCTGCACGATAAATCGCATGCGATATTTAATGCGCATCTTGTCAGAAAGCTGGTTCTGTAATCAGCGGTAAACCTCCATCACGTGCGTGCTTTCACATTGAGCAGCATTAACTACACAGAGCCGTTGTTCACTGACGAGTTGCGCTAAA